AAATTACAAATTACAATCCCTAGGGCTGTGATGGTGAACCTATGGCATGGGTGCCACAGGTGGCATGCAGAGCCCTCTCTGTGGGCATGCAAGCCGTTGCCCCAGTTCAGCTCCACTGCGCATGCGTGCACGCCTCCCGCCGGCCAGCTGATTTTCGGGTCTCTGCCGTTCATGTACGGGGGTAGGGCACACATGCAGAGGTCACATGTGCATGTGCAGGGGGTGGGGTGTGTGCAGGGGGGTCACGCATGCGTTGCATTAAGGATGCACGCAAAAGGTTAGCCATCACTGTCCTATGGCTGCATACAACCTAGATTTAAAGTTTTGAGCCCCATCCCCACGGTCACATGATATGACTTTTTTGCGTCTGGAAACTGGTCTTTAATTCCAATTTCTGACAAAATTTCCCCATTGCAGACAATAGATTTACTTAACGATTATAGCCTTTGCTTAACAAACAAGGTGTTTGCTTAACAACCCTTGCAAAAAGAAAGTCATAAAATCAAGTACAGTCACGCGGTGACCCACTTAATGACTGACAACCGTAATTCCAGACTCAATTCCAGACGCAAGTCGAGGACAACGTGTATTCTGCCGTAACACCCGTATCACTCTAATATCCCCAAATTGGGGAAGATCCCTTCAACAGGTGGCAGAGCTGGCCTTTTAGCCATTTTATTCATTTTACTAAAAAATAAAAAATAAAACAAACCAAATGGGAAAACATCTGTTTCCTAACCACTCAGCTCAGTTTACATACTTCATTATAAAATGGTGTGTTGGTTCCTTCTTTGACTGTAGTCTGCTTCTTTTCATCCCCAATTTCTATAATCACCACCGGATCTATATTCTCACCAACGAGCTGACGTGCTTCAGTGATGGTTATGGCAATCTGCAAGAACGCAATGCAAATTTGACTCAAGATCTGTCAGGTGGGAAACACCAGGCGCACCTGTGAATAGCAACAGCACTTAGCAATAGCGCTTAGACTTATATACTCCTTTGCAGTGTTTTACAGCCCTCCTCTAAGCGGTTTACAGAGTCAGCCTATCGCCCCCAACAATCTGGGCCCTCATTTTACCCACCTTGGAAGGATGGAAGGCTGAGTCAACCTGGACCCCAGTGAGATTTGAACTGCCAAATTGCAGGCAGCCGGCAGGCAGCATAAATAACCCACGGTACTGCACACTAATAATCTTGGTGGCGTCAGTGAAGCTTCAGCTAAGCTGCTTTATTGCTAAAACCCAATTTACAGGACTCTTCTCAACTAATACTCAGCCCACGGTAAGAGTTAGCTAAAGGACAACAGCACTCAAGGGTGGGGGGTTGTTAGACTCAGCTTGCTTGTGACTACGTAGGGATTCTAGGCTGATCCCTCTTTTTCACTCCACCTCCGGGTTCTGCCGTGCCTCCTCCTGCAAAACCGAAACGGATATTCAAGTCCTTGACCAAAGACACTGGCCAACATTTTGTACCTTACCTGATAATTCTGGGTCTTCGTTTCCGTTTCATGGATTTTCAACTGCAGCTTGGCTCTGTTTCCAATTCAGAAGATAAAGACAGCACTGAGACTTCAGAAAGCTACATTTTACATTGTTAACAAGTCTAATACGATTTAATTTGTCCCTTTCCATACTCAGACATAGGGATTACTTAACATTGCAAGTTTTTCAGAGAACCATTATATGGGCGGGATTGAAAAAAATTAGGAACCGGTTCTCTGCCCAGTTGCTGGGTGGGCATGGCCATGGGGGTGTGGCCTAGTCAGCTTCCTGCACCATGGCGGGGATGGGGCGGCGTTTTCACCCTCCCCAGGCTCCATAAGCTTTCCTCGAGCCTCCAGGAAGGTGAAAACAGCCTCCCCCAGGCTCCAGAGGCCCTCTGGTAGACGGAAACGGACCTGTTTCCAGATTTCTGGTACTTCCAGGAGACCTGTTTTCCCCCCTCCCTGAGCCTCCGTGTGGTCCCTGCACTTACCTTGTATCCAAAATGGGCCACATGGAGATTCCTGGGAGCGGCGTGGCGGGGCAGGAGGAGCAGGTTGTGGTGGGCGGGGCCAGCCAGGGGTGGGATTTGGAGGTTCTCCAAAGTGGCCATAACATTAGCTAGGAGTTCTCCCGAATCCGGGAGGATTCTGATAGGCCACCCTTGGTTCTAAGCATGATTTTTAGGAGAACCAACTTCGGTCGGTGGTTCATGTATAGCAAAAATGTTTAGTCCACTCAAAATGCAAGCCAAAGCCAAAACTATGTTTTCAAAGTCACTCCCAAAGGAACTAGAAACAATCTCTCTCTGAACTCTTGGGAGCCTAATGCAAAAGGCATTAAATAATACCAGCAATTATGAGGTTTAATGGCTTCATATGTTATACAACATTGGAGGGAAACCATCCTTTCAGAACAATGTCAGGTTTCAGCATTCAAGAGGTCCTATGGTCAGTCAGTTGGAGAACTTTAATCAGCATTGGAGAAAGTGGTGATCAATCACTACTCTACATGGTGCATCTAGATGACCTTCTGTATTAAAGGCGCTATCATCCTCAACATGATTTAATATGGAGGACAAGCAAGAGAGTGCTCTGTTAGTCTTTTCCCAAGAGCATAAAGCCATCCATTCCAAGAGCAAAATATTGGAAGGACTTTTTAGAACTGGATAGCCCAAACCTTTTATTTAGAATGAGTGTTTAGAATATTTTCATCTATGATGTGTCCAGTGACTGAGTTTGCACAACATACCACTCAAGGCTAAAATGTTGTATAAATCAGACCTGCTAGAAAGCTAGAAGAATGCTTGCTTGCTTGCTTGCTTGCTTGCTTGCTTGCTTGCTTCCTTCCTTCCTTCCTTCCTTCCTTCCTTCCTTCCTTCCTTCCTTCCTTCCTTCCT